TTTGTAAAATCACAAATACTTAGGCTATCAGGGAATGATCTTATAAAAACTATGAGGTCAGGAGTGCCTTGTGATAATACTCATAGCTTCTGATACAAGAAAGCCTGGAAATAAATTCCAGGTCTGCCTTTTTAGCTATAGGAAATGTAAATGAAATTATATGTACCTCGTGTGCACATGTACAGTACCTGGTACAGAGTTTGTAGTTAATAAAGGGTAGCTATTTGATGTGACATTGTTATAATTATTATAATTGTCAAAATGCTCAATGACTTAGGTATTTACTTATGTAAAAAATTTGACTTCTGTCTTCACAATCACTCTACAGAACTAAGAAATTACAATGGGAAAAATACACCATTTTTACTTTCTTTTGTCTGAATGTTTTAGATTAAACCCTTTTTTAGTTGGATATTTTGCATGTATTTGTCATAACCCTCAAAGATGCACTGTCAGAAATAGATAACAAAGGATCATGAATTCAGACAAGTATCGGAGCCTCTATTTTTCTCTTTGTAAATAAATTTTCTTAGAAAAATTTCATTACATAGGAAATGCATGCTTATTGTGTGGAAATGGAAACTATTATAGAAGTAGGCAGAGAGAGGAAAATAAAAGACATTCATATCCCGACTACCCACAGATAACTTTAATGTCTTCACATGTGCAATACTTGCATTTTTTAATTAAATAATTCCACATCTACTATAAAATTCACCAGACTTTGTGAATATCTTTCGGTGTGAATAAATTTTCTTTTAGAACTTCATTTGTATTTGTTTGGCATTCCATAAAATGAATAAAAAAGAAAGCCAGTTATCCGAGGTTAATTGTTGCCAGGGATATGCCAATTTACTAAAATGTCAACTTAAATTTGGGGTAAGTGGCAAGGCTTTTTAAAAGGACAAAATATAAATTTATGATAATTATTTTATTTTGTGTCTAACAAAATAACTGTAACTATATGCTAATTCTGAGAAAAATAGATGAATCATGCACTGATTTAGGGCACATTTTCTGACAAATATGTGTGAACACATGATATGACTTTTAGTACTTTATCTTTGATGTGCATAGGAGGATTATAATATTTTGCTAAAAAAAATTCCTAAAACTTCATCAGTTTTCTTGCTTTATTTGAAGCCTCTACTGAGTCATCACCAATTTTCTGCAGTTGTTTACTGCTCAGACTCTCCTGATCTTTATTTGTCAACCACTTTGCATGCGATCACATGATTCTCCCAAATCACTTTTGCTGACTTGAAGAAATCCTGCAGCTCCTACAAGGTTTACAAATAGACTTTGCAAAATGACTTACTACCATGATTATTAATATTGTTAATCTGAACTATCATTAGAACAGAAATATTTAAATTACCTTCTAATCTATAAGGGAAGAAAGAATGACTCGACAAGAGGAAAGGAAAGATGTTAATGTCAACAGCCTGGGGATTCACTTTACAAATGATCAGTTTATCAGTGGACACTTTCCTGTCGGAATTTTGCTCATAGCCTGATTTGTCTTTTATATTATACCTGTATCAGTGAGGCTTTCTACACCATTAATTTCTAAATTCATCCTTTATAAAATGAACACTTAGTTTCAGATATAAGATAATTTATTGTTGCTCTTTTAAAAGATATCTGAATTAGACTTAAAATATTAGACATGAGACATTAGACTCAATTCCTATAAATAAAAGAACTCTGTTTACAAATCCTTTCTAGTAGAAGACAGAGTGCAATGTAAATCCATCTTTATCATTGTTTTTAAAAATAGTGTACAAATGAATACATTGTTTTGAGGATCATAGAGCCTATATTTCCAACTCATAAGTATCTGCTTCATAGAACTGATCCCTCTTGATAATTTAGCTCACCCATTACATATGTCTTCAGTTTCCTATTAGTACCAATTTAGCTCTAGAAGAGTCTACATTTTGCCTTAGAAATTTATAAATAAATGTACAGCCTGCCTAGTCTTAAATGTCACATTCTCACAAAGAATCTCCTTGACCACCGTACTTAAATTGTTAGAATCTTCTTACTATCTCTGCACCCTATTTCCTTTGTTTCAGTTATTGCAATTTGCAAATGTATTTGTTTTTACTATTCGTTTTCGGTATATTTTTCCACTAGTCTGTAAGCAACATGAGGGCAGAGGACATGACTATTTTATTCACCAATATATTCCCTGAACATAACACAGTGACTTGCATGTGGCAGGCACTTAGTAAAGTGTTAAATAAATGACCGAATGCGTGAATGATGGATGATTGCATGATCTGGAAACTAGTCACAATATAACAGATTGAATTATTTTTCTTGAGAGTTACTTTTAAGGATGCTTTTGTTTTATTCTGCTGTCATAAAGACTAAATCGTCTTCTATTCTAATGAGGTATAACTGTTTAGTCCAGTCCCTGATATTAGTTGGAGAAGGTTGGACGGAAGCCCATTGCCAGGGAAGGTCAAGTACAGCAAATCCCAAGCTATCCTTGAAATCCCGAACTTTCAACAAGAAGATGAAGGCTTTTATGAGTGCATTGCAGGCAACCTTCGCGGAAGAAACCTTGCAAAGGGTCAACTCATTTTTTATGGTGAGCCAATCAAATTTCAAAAAGTATATAAAATATGTGGTAATATCTTTCATAGTAAATAGTGCAGGTCATTAGCGTGTTATGGAAAAGTGTCAAAGGAGAAATAGGGAAGATACATTTCCAGGTTAGGAAGCTTAATACAGTGATTAGCAGGTGGGAAGACCAATTTAAAACTACAACTTTAATTTCAGCATGGTCTATGCATGCTATTGTTTATAATAATTGCCTTGAAAATATCAGCAGTGTCATGTTAAAGCCATAAAAGTTATCATATTAATACAAGGTAGTATGAACTCCAATATATTTCCCACGAAACATTCAGCAGCACCCTATGACAATCTTAATTATAATTCTAAATAGAATTTGCAAATGAAAGAGAGAAATGATAGGGAAAACATAATACTGAATGGTGGTTTATGGTATTTGTTTCTACTTCTCAGATTTTATCTATTCATATGTAGATAATAGACAAATAAGGCTACTACTTCATTAAAAATTATATGGTTGTCTCAGTTACCAGAATTTCCCATAAATGTAAGAAAAATGATGCATGCATATATTATCTA